ATGGATCCTCCTTGGTTTTTCACAGTTAGCTGCAGACCCTCCGTCATTCTTCATGCTTTAAAATCGACTCGTCCTTCATCACACATTTCTAGCCAAGTTCCTTTTCTTTTTCTCAGCAGTTTTTCTTACTAAAAAATGGCTTCTTGAGAGTCGCCCTCAGTGACTTTGCCTTAGCAAACGATCAATGAATCACTTCCTCCTTATCAGATTCTTAAAGTTTTTGTCACTAAACCTTTAAAGCCTCGTTGGTGAATCTCTAGTTTTATGTTTTGCTATACTTAGCAAGACTCTTTAAATTGTTGGTTTACTCTGGGAAGAACTTTGTGATAAATACTTCATGGACAAAAACTGTTTTATGTGAATAAGTTCAATAAAACTTATTGAACTTATAAAACTTAAAGATGTTTAAAAATAGTTAGAAATAAGATGTGGACTAAAAATGAATGAAAAAGGAACCAAGTCAAAATAAAAACAACAAAATACATCCAGAAAGCCAGGAGCTGTTTCTCAGGAGATCATCATCATCATCACACGAAAGTGAAACTGAAAGTTGTTAGATCAAGTTTTCCTTTCACAAACTGAACTGAGAAATAAAACTGGGAAAACACGTCAGCATAATCAGACAGATTTTCCAAACTTGTTGCCAGTTTCCTCTTCTAAATGGACATTGTGATTCTCACCGTTGCTCTGAGCGCTTTGGTTGCCTGATCTCGACTGAAGCCCATGGAGACGATCGTTGCCAGATGTTCCTCTGAGAGGCTCTCTGTAGGAGTGGTTCCGGGTCCAGAACTGCTGCCTGGCAACACCAGCGGAGCCGAAAAGTCTGCAGACAACCAGGAGACAGAAACACCAACAGACTGAATAAAGAGCCCACTTGGAGCGCTGCCTGGAAAAGCCCCCGTTTCTACACACCAGGATCGTCCATGTGGCTCATGATCCAGTTCATGGCAGCATCAATTCCAGTATTCCCAGTGTAGTAGACTGCTTTCCTGCAGGCTTCCAGTGGAAATCCCATTTCACATAACTGGGACACAGTGGAGTCATCGAGGACTGGAGCTGGATAAAGTTGACAGGAAACAGTTGAATTATTTTATGTACCGTATTTTCCGCACTATAAGACGCACCTAAAAACCTTCAATTTCCTCAAAAGCCGACAGTGCGCCTTATAATCCGGTGCGCCTTATACATGGACCAATATTGAGCCACAACAGGTCCAGCAACGGAC